CGTGGTCTCTTACAATTGAACAAAGTTTGAGGTAAGGGATTCCTATTAATTATTATTGTTCATCGCGTTAAGCGTCCGCCTCTCGAAAACCGTAAGAGATGGATCTGGACATATTGCGTACGAAATACGTATTACCTCTTGAGCTTTCCATTGTTTTCATATTTTACATATTACAAATGGTTTAGGTTCTACAAACATTTATTTATACGAACAAAGGCGGGTCACACTTCACGCTACTACTGCGTTTGTGCGTTGCGTCATACTATGTAGATATAACAAGATGGATGACATTGAAGCTAAAAGAGTCCGTAATGCAGAAATATGAGACAGTACAGAAAACGTAAAAAATAGAAGTTTTAAATAATTATTATGAAGTATTCGTGTTATGATCTATGCTAAGAAATTTTTTAAGCGTTCAGACGAATGATGGTGTTCTGTGACAGTTTGGTTACTCTTGGTCAGTTACCAGGTGTACCAACTTTGCATAGCGCTTGTGAAGTTTGTGAAATGATCCGTCAGGTGTTCCGTGACTGTGTGACACATCATAAAATTTTGTGAATGTGATAAGCTATTGCTTAATTAAGTAGCGTGCAAATTATTCTGTTCTGTGTTTTATATATTGTAGTTATGCGGTGGTTTCAAGGTGGAATAGCAGAGGCTGTCGCTACATCAAAAACTAAAAATGCTGTATTTGTTGTGTTTGTTGAAGGTTAGTTCGAAATTACGTTAAGGCTTGTGTCTGTGTGCTTGATGGTTTGAATACACACAGAAGTGTTTCATAAATGTGCATTATAGTTTCCACTTTTTTCATGTTGCTGGAACATAATGTTGTCTACATATTTTCTTCTTGTGGGGGGGGGGAAGTATTTGGAAGAGAACATTATTATGACACCTTTAGTTGACACAATTTACAAGGAAAATAATGTTACGTTTGTAGGTAATAATCCTAGAACCTGCACTTATAAACAGAAACTTGTGTAACCGAGGAAACGTTGCTCCTAAATGAATGATTATATTTCCTGCAAACCCTGTTCATGTTATTAGAATGGTGAAGTAATTTGTAAGAGGCAACCAGATCTCTTGTGCATAATTTTGATGTCTTAATAAGTCACTGGATGCAGCACTTGCCCAAACAAGACCTTGTAATTAATCTACATAACCTCTCTGTACTCAGTTTGATTTGATAACATACCAGTTATTCTTATTTAATAAAGTGATTACCAACAAAAAGAAACTATAAAATAAAGCAGGTTGATTTTTGTGAGTGCAGCTCTTAATTATGTGGATGATCTCATTGTAGCAGTACTTTGTAGCCTGTATTTGTACTTAATAATGACTCATGTGTATGTAAACCAATATGAATGGAGATATGTTGGCATGAACATGTAAATTCCATCTAAACATTTGCATTTTGGTGTGATATTTAACCATAGATTCATTATTTATAGGTTATGATAGGAAAATTGGCTTATACAGCTGTGAAGTGTTGGCACCATTTACCATTAGATTCTTCACCAGCAACACACATCAGTAATGTGTTGGACAATGAATAGAGTTTTGAGATGTCATATCAGCTGTTGGTGACTCTATTTTAATCATTATACAAGTTTCTAAGTGATAAAAGCCAAGTAATCTCTGCTAACACTACATCTTAAGTTATTATTTTTTAATATAAGTTATCAGCTCCAGTATTCATACCAGTGACCATTATTACTGAATGGTTAAGGCTGTGGGCCGGAATTCTTGGCAGAGCTGAACTTTTCAGGTCACTATTATTTTAACCATTTATACCAACTCACTCACTCTCAGGTGCAGGAAATCCTTAGAAAAGTCCCACCGTTAGACTTTGCTTTGAGCTACTCGCATCAAGGTCCCTCCATCAATTCCTATCTCCCTAAGGTCCATCTTGACGTTATCCTCCCACCTATGCCTAGGTCTTCCAAGCAGTCTCTTCCCCCATGCGTGCTGCATGCCCCACCCACCTCATCGTTATGCAATTTTAACCGTGAACCGATATCTTTAATTGAAACACTCTTGTAAATTATTAATAATTATTACAGTACAGTGTACATTTATTAAGTATTAATATTTCACTTTTATTCTTGTTTGAAGGCAAAGACGAAGCATCAAAAAATGCGGCATCAGCGCTGGACGATGTTGCAGTTTTGTCAAAATTAGAATCGGAAGATTTTGTGGCAGTAAAACTCGACAGTGGATCAGAAGCCTATAATCAGTTTGTTCAGATTTGTATCCTTTATGCCAAGTATCTGAAGTGTGAATATTTGAAGTAGGAATTGTTCTAAATTATAATATACTGCCCTGATGATGGAGGTAGCAATGACCCCTGAAACATCGGCAAACTTCAACCAGACCGCACGGCGCTACAACCTAGGCTTATCGCTGTGGAAACCTCAAATCCTTCTTCAGTCTTTGATTATCATTGCTCTTGTAGAGATTAATTCTTTTGTTACAGGGATTAAAACCTTGGAGGCACAAATTAAAATTTAAATAAGAACTTTCTGTCACTGCCCATGTTTCTGGCATGGTAAATTGTTGTATTTAAATATTCTTTGTCATAAAAATAATTTAATAGAATTTTTTAAAAAGCATTACCTAATGCTTATCACTGACATAAGACGTTGGTGGAGGGTGTCCACCACGTCAGCAGACGTCTGCGTGAACCTCAGTGTGTGTTATTACTGCGGATGGGGGACAGCTTGTATTTCACTGCAGTAAGGTGTACAAAGTATTGACCAAACACACTCTCGGTCAAAAAATCCTTCCTGCCATTTCATATATTTTTTCTTCCCTTTTTTTATGAAAGGTGTAATGCCTCATGTTCTCATTTCTTGTTTACTTTAGCGAGCTTTTTAATTTCATTTTTCAACTTGGACAAGAATATGCCTGATGCATATATTATTTTCGCAAGAGACTTGCTAGAAATTTGCATCTGTTTCACCCTTCTTTGTTATTTCAACATTTGTTTAATTTGTTTATATAATTTCACATTTTCTGTGTAAGACTTGAGGTTCTCACAGCGGTGAGTATGAAGCTTTCTGTCTTCTGGGTTGTTGCGCTGTGTAGTCTGGTCGATGTTAACCAACGTTTCAGAGGTCATACTGCCTCCGTCATCAGAGTATGAAGATTTCTGTCTTCTGGGTTGTTGCGCTGTGTAGTCTGGTCGATGTTTACCAACGTTTCAGAGGTCATACTGCCTCCGTCATCAGAGTATGAAAATTTCTGTCTTCTG